GATGTAATTGACAAATTTTAATGAAATTTTTATACAAAATATCTACATAATTTACATTTATAAAAAAGATATAGGACGTCAGAAATGTTTTAATAATAGTCTATTTGCATTATGCGTGTCATTTAAAATCAGGTTAATTTTTTTTAATAATATTTATTGCTTTTGAATTAAGCCTATATTAATATTTTAACGTAATTTCTTTTTGATTTTGTCGCTACAAATTGAATAATTTTTCTGTGTATATCATACTATAACGTCACGTCATGCATGAAATGGCGGGCGTTTAAAGTATCCATAAATGTATGATTTTTTTTACAAAATTTTAGATATTTGGAGTTGGATATTTTTTTCTACAATTATGTAACGATGTAAGCTATTGTATAAAAAATAAAATATAAAAATTATATTCTCTTTGGTATATTCTGTTCTTAATTAGTTAACATGCAAAAAGTTTGTATTGAAAGGATTTCGCATGAAGTGATATTGTCACTAAATGAAGCAGAAATTTAATAAAAGATAACAAGTCAATATGTTAAATTATGTTCACGTGGCACTCGAACGATCGATAACAGCACCTTTCGTTGTGTTACATATCACAATCAAAGCTATCTACATCCAAACTTACTGTTACTTACTTGATATTATAAATTTGAAAGTATGTTTGTTTGTTCGTTTGTTTGTACTTCTTTCACGTCGAAACCGAGTGACGGATTGGCGTTATTTTTTGTGTAGAGACAGTTGGAGGGCTAGAGAGTGACATAGGCTACTTTTTACCGCGGGATTATTATCTAATTCCCACGGAAAAACACGTTATAATACAATGCAAAAAATATTTATAATCAGAATTACTTGAAACTTGGCATTAGTGCTCTTCAATAAAATTAAATGAATACGTTTTTTTGGGCATTTTTCGAAATTCATCCTATAAGGGGGTAAATAGGGGATGAAAGTTTGTACGAAAATACCTTTTTAGAGATTTATTGTAGTTTTACCCACGGGTGAAGCCGCGGGTTTTGCTAGTATATAATATATTTTATATACGACATATACATATAATACATGGTCTAGGCATTCCATACTAACCATTAAAACGTACCTAGGGACAAACCTGAGCGAAGAAAAGGTGAGTCGCTAGTATAATTTTTTTTAAACACCCCTAACTTTATTTATTGCTAATTTTGCTAATTGGGTATAGTTAAAACAATATTTTTGGAGATACGGTAGAAGACAAAACAACAAGGACCGACTTCAAAATAAATAGGAATACCTACTCAATGTGAGTGTATGTTATATAATTTTTGATTATAATGCATAAAATTATAATGCGATTTTACGGAAGTACCGACATAAAAATAATTACATATATGTATGTAATGTACTTTGACGCAAAATAATAATAAATAGTTTAAATATTCATAGACAATCATTATCTAAACAAGCAATTATAATAATTAACTCGTACAAACAAAAGATAAAAACGAAGGTTAGTAAATTATTGCTACATACATCTTAGCTAGTATAATAAATGCGAAAGTTTGTTTGTTTGTCGTTGTTTTATCAAAGAGATCGACCTCTTGTTTTGTATGATTTTTTTTTACCTAAATGAATTTTTATATATTTATTTACTATTTTTATATCTCGGTACATTATAATATAATAGTCCTCGTGGAATATTGCCAAATGAAACTTTTAAGCACGCAATGTGTTGTGGAACCCGAGTATAGCTTATCCAGGTATTAATTTTAACAATAATAATAATTATTAGAATAAATTGTATGTAATACCAGCTACGGTTTCGAGAAACATTTTGTTTGATAGTTAGAAATAAGTAAAAAAGTTAGACAAGAAAACGGGCAAAAATAGCTGTTAATACTGGAATTAGATAGAAATATAAGTACTTTTAAATAAATAACGACAATTCTTGCATATTTTTAGATGATCTAAATATAAATAGAGTCAAAAGTTCTTAGATAGAATATACGAATATTGAAGTTAATTTCAATTATTTTAATACTTTTTCAGTAGGCATTTCAGTAAAAATGGGTGTAGCGTGCGCGTGTTCTAATGTACCTAGTTTACAGTCAGACGCCACACAATAGAGACTCCATTTTATAGACGGCCATAATAGCTCTACTAAAGTAACTTTTAAGCTAATGAGTCCATCGATATAAGAGTACGTATTTATGATAGCTTATAATCAAAATACACGTAAAATACCACATGTTAAACATTGACAGATATACATACAAATTTTATTTTCTATAGTCACAAGCCATCCTGAAAACACGTGCGTCTGTTTGTTTACAAAAACCAGATATCGCGAGACATACACACATACACTGATACTTTACTCACACATGCGCAAATTTACACAGAAATTGTCAATGTGTGACAATGCGTATTGCGTCGTTTACACACAGACAAGCTACTGTACACAGTATCCAAGCTTTAGCGGATCAACAATGTTTTTATTGAGGTTTAAAATTAATACCGTGATATGAATCATGATATTATTATTTTTTTATTTACAAATTAATACTCAATTTACAAATTAGTTAAATTGTTGAAATTAAAATATATTTCCCACTAAATCTTTTACTATAACAGCTATTTCAAAAAAAAAATACTTTTCACAAAAAAAAACAAACTAAAAATCCTTAATTTCTACTTAACATTTAAAGTAAACTGTATTAAATATCTGAAAAACAACAATCAAGAACAATTTTTTGATACAAAGTGCTGACGAAAATAAATTAAAATTAATCAAAACATTCTAAACAACATATTAGACGACTAAACTAACTAAATCCTCTTTAAATAAATAAATAAATAAAAATATTTTATTGGCATAAAGAGATATAGTGTTGACAAAGTTGATGTTGAGGTCCGTAAAATATATTATATACTAACAGAACCCGCGGCTTCGCCTGCGCTAAAACTGCAAAAAATCTCTTAAAAGGTATTTTCATATAAACTTTCATCCCCTATTTATAGAATGAATTTCGAAAAATGCCAAAAAAAATATATTTATTTAATTTTATTGAACACTTAATGCCAAGTTTCAAGTAATTCTGATTATAAATATTTTTTGCATTGTATTATAACGTGTTTCCCCGTGGGAATTAGATAATATCACGCGGTAAAAAGTAGCCTATGTCACTCTCCAGCCCTCCAACTATCTCCACACAAAAAATAACGCCAATCCGTCACGCCGTTTCGACGTGAAAGAAGTACAAACAAACAAAGCAAGTAATTTTTGCCTGTATTAGGAGACCCCACTCTTTCAAAACAAAACGTACAGATTTGTTTGAAAAAAAAAAGATTTGTTTTCCACAAAAACGCTACGCCCATAGTTATTTATAATATGGCTAAGTCTGAATAACATAACGGTATTGACGCGAAACTTCTATCGCACACATGGACAAAGGTTGAATGACGTAGACGGGGAGAGAGGGGAGATCGGAATGAACTGTTTATATACTCCGCGTCTACGCAGACCGATCCAGTTTTACTTGTGAAGTAAACAACTACGTTTCTTAGAGAACAACTATATTTGCTGAGGAAGGCTAGTCCCCACAGCCCTAATGGGTACGTTTTCACCTTGACCTATTTTAATATTATTTTGCTTATTAAATATTATTTGTTTATATATAAACTCTTTGTAAATTAGCAGACTATAGGTGTTCATTTGTGTCATTCCATTTTTCATGACGTTCAGACTGTAATAAGCCCTGGAACATGCTAAGGTTATATAAATCATTATCAACGAGTTCTTTAACATCCTTTGTATATATTATTTCTATTCATATCACTTGCTTTAATTCGATTGATTGTGTCATTTATCGTATAATAATTAGTGCTATGTAATGTTGCTCGGTGATTCATGTCGTGAACTCTACATTTCTTACGCCCCTCCGCCCTTGGACGCCATTCTGTGACGCCGTGACTATGGTTTCAGAACAAATGCGTCATAGCTACATGGAATGCATAACTTACATCGTTTCATTGAAAATACTTTGTGATTCTTAGAATTTTGAATGGCTTGTATTAAATTCTTAGTTTTAAAAACTACTATTTGACGTTCGCTAAAAAAATATGTATTTTAAGACATTTTAGTCCAACTATGACTTTACTAGCCATTATTACGGCTAAATTTTTCTTGCTTAACGTTTTTCGATTAATATTAAAATTTTGTTAGCTTATAGGCACAATTATTATGTTTTCTATAGATTTATTTGTTTGTTGATAGTGTTTTGATACAGGGAAAAGTTTTATTTATTTCTTTATTACGTTTTGAAATTGAATTTTCCTTGCAAACCTATGGACTTTATAAGACTTCTAAGAAACTAAAGATTGTATCTGTATTGTCCTATAGGATAATATGTATGTATAGTTAATTAAGAGCCATGCACAAAATTTAAATTTGTAAATATTTTTTTATTATTAAAAATGGCATAGCAACAACCCAAAGTTAAAAATATTTCAGTGCTAACTCGTATATCATATCATCATACATATATAAAATTTTCGCTATAAAGTAAAACGTGACGTCCGCTGTTCAATATTTGGCAAATGTCCTAACAATTCTAATTTTAGTTAATCTCTTTCCAGATACGTTAAATATAAAACCGTTAAGTCAGGACTTAGAGTGGTCTCCGGAGACGCGTCTCGGCGCAGGAGCCACTCGGGGCGTGGTGGGTCACGCTCCCGTTGAAATGGCGTCTACATCCAGCGAGGAGAGGGCCATACGCCGCGTCACTGGCCGCTGGGGAGCCGAGTGGTTGAGCTGACTCGGCTCAGGCTTTATCAAACCCGGGCCCCTATGGCCCGCAGACCACCCCCTGCCGGCTCCCCGGTGGGGGGCCCCACGCCCAGCTTTGCACCTGTCCCTTCAGAAATACGAGGACTTGGTCGCTAAAGCTGAAGCGATTTTGAGTCGACTCGTCGTCGCTGAGAACTATGACTCCGTTAACAACTTTGTCACTCTCTATGATTCGTATATGGCATCTGCCGATGAAACTTTAAAGGAGTTCTTCCCAAAATACAATCCGACGATACGCGCTCACAAGCACACCTGTGTGGGCTTGGGTATGGAAGTCATCAAGCGCTTGAAAGTCTTGGAGAACGATTTCCCTGGTATCACGAAGTCTATGATGCTTGTATCTTGTGATGAAAACATTGAAGATCTGGTTGACTATACAACATCATTTCCTGGACCACAAGGCTTTTTGATTGAGACGGAAAAAGATCACGTCATGATGGCTATCCATGTCAGGGTCGACGGAAGACCTGGTATCTTTTTGTCAGATTTGGGATACCATATCTCTCGTGTCGTCACCGTAATGGCGGACCGTTGCTATCCACATACAGGTAATTATTTTTAAATTAACATACATATTTGTTATTAAAGCGGGTTTTATCTTATGATAACATATAAATACGAGGTAAATATCCTTTTTTTGGGTTTCGTAGCTAAAAGATTCTCAAATAATTTGAGATGTAGAGCTTTTATATTAGCTCTATTTTTATTTACAATAAAGAAAATTACAAATATACTTAATTATATATACAAAACAAATGTACACTTAGTTATTACTGTAGAGCTTTTAAAATACTTTCAACGAAAGTTATTTGGAAAATAGCTACGTTAAATTGTTTTTGAAATATGAAATTTTTAGTACAACGTAAAATAACTTTAAGAACTACTATCATGAAATACAATTTTATGTATAATAACAATTTGCAGTCGATAAAATGAATATTGTAAGATAAATTCTTTTAACATAAATGAAATATTTCACGCTACGGTACTCTCTTTGTTAGAGTCCGAGTCCCACTTGACCGATTTTTTAATATACCTCATTTATTTATAATGTAAAAAAAAGTTTAAATTTAGTATCTAATATAATTATTAAGCCTTAAACTATTAGTATATATTTTATCCAGGCTGGTTCACTCAATCCGATGAGCCTCACTGCCGCAAAGAGTATAATTATCAATTCAACATCCACAACATCAACTATGTGGAGTGGCACGAGCGTGAGACGCGAGGAGATAAGGTGAAAGAGCGTCTGTCCCTTGTGTATGTCGCCAAGGCATATCTTAGCGCGGTCGCCGTGACGGAAAAGCGAAATCTAGTATGGGACTTGAGGTTAGTACTATGGCTATTTACAAATTCTTATTTAAATTACATAATAATTGCAAAATTCGTTTAGAATTTGCTTTAAACATCAATTAATTACTTCATCTGACAAAGTTATATTTTTTTAAACTTAAAATTGACTTCTTGTACGAAAACAGTTTTTAAATTTATTAACTGTCAATCTGTTATATATTATGTTTAGGTTCTTGAATTTGAAAACTTCCAAATACTGAATATAGATATACATAAATTAAAGAAGATCAATTCTTAAGAACAATTTTGAAACCTATTTAACAAGTTTTTATTATATTATTGTACTACTTTCAGGAGTTTGTTGGCTCGTGATCCTAAAGGACGTTTAACTGCTGGTATTTACTTCCCAGTTAAAAAGAAGGACCAACAATTCACCATGTTCTTTGACAGCCACAACGGAAAACAGAGAAAGAAACTTAAATTTGAAACTTTCTTAGAGTTGCAGAAGGTAATTAGCTATAACTTTATTAAATACTAGCACTAATAGAAATAAAATAAATAGAATAAAAACACTAATAGAAATCTATTAGTTCCCACGGGAACCGTTCATTTTTTCCGGATAAAAAGTAACCTGTTGTTTGACCGGCAATATAAGGTATCAGAATGTTAAATTTTACTAAATTAGGTGCATAAGTTGTATAAGTTATAATAGTTTTTTAACTATCCCACGGGAACCATTTAATTTTCCGGGATAAAAAATATCTAAGACGTTGTCCGGGGATATAAGGTACCACCATGCAAAATTTCATTTAAATCGGTCCAATAGATTCGGAGATTAGCCCGTACAAACAGACAAACAGACAGAGAAACAAAAAAATTGAAAAAATCTGGATTTGTTCCATTTGTCTTCTTACATCCCCCTGACTCGAGTTGGCTTATTATTAGCGTATTTCATGTATAACTTTGGTGTTTCTATACCGATTTCTATGATTCTTTTTTATAAAATAGTTTATAATATTAACTTTTTTAATTAGGGATGACTGAGAGTGTTATAAACGTAAGAGTAGACAAATATAAATCGGAAAGCTTCGAACTGCTAAGCTATCGGGAGTTACACGTGTTATTGTGAGTCAACCATAAAAGATAGACATATGCTGTCGTGGGATATTTTTTATATAATTTTAAGGAGAACATTTCCGTCATACATGATTTCTGTGGAGCTTTAACCATTAAGGTTGCACACGCGACGGAAGCTTAAAAAATGGAGTAACTTCTCCCGTTTTCCCAACATTTCCCTTCACTGCTCTGCTCCTATTGATTGAAGCGTGATGAAAAGTATACTATAACCAGCTCAGAAGTATGAAAAATAATTGTACCAAGTTTTGTTAAAATCCGTCGAGTAGTTTTTGTTTCTATAACGGTTATACAGACAGACAGAGAAAAATTTTACTGATTGCATTTTTGGCATCAGTATCGATCCCTAATCACCCCCTGATAGTTATTTTGGAAATATATTTCATGTACAGAATTGACCTCTCTACAGATTTATTATAAGTATATATTAATAATAATTAATAAATAAACTCGCGAACATCAAAAGCCTTTGTAGGACAAATTCTTGTGGAATAAACTAAAATATTTACGATTTAATTTATAAGTACGAGCTTAGAAATAAAAAATATTTGAAAGTCCCTATTTAAAAAACTAGTTAAAGTCAATTCAATCATCTTATTTGATTAACAACTATAAAAATCTTTATTTAAAAAGTTTTAAAAAAATGAATATTATTAACAAAACTGCATATATATTCCAGATACCAGACGAAGTAGTTGATGAGGTAGAGCAGTGTAATGACCAACTACATCTTAAAGATGGGGAACTCCTGTCAACTCTTAAAAAGCTAGCTTCTATCATGGCTGATGAAGATTATATGTCAGAACTCCTGGAAGTCAACGACAAAATCGTCCAGCTTTCTGCTGGGACAGAAGTTACACAGTAGATTGTTCCTTAATCACAATATTAGAGGAGTCACTATCGCGACGTAGAGTAGAAAAGTAGCTTAGATCGTTTATTCTTTAAATGTGGACGAATCGGCTCATATGGGAATAAAATTTAAAAAAATTATTCAGTTTTTTATTTTATTTCTTTAATTATATTTGCAAAATATATAAAATCCTTGGAAATTAAAAAAAAATGATTTAAAAAGATCTTTAGCATAACATATTGAAGTGATTTTTAAAGAAAACTTGATAAATTATATTTTTTCTATCAAAGTTTGCTTTTTGCACAGTTTATAAAAGTAAATGCCAAAATCGGCGGTGAGCAGAGTCTCTGCCGGATAGTCGCAGAACTAACTTTGACTGATAAAGTTCCTATTTAGTCTGTGTGTAATGTTAATAAATAAAATAAATATAAATATGTTGGGACATTAACACACAGCACCATCTAATTCCATGGTAAGGTACGAGGCTTGTGTTTTAGGTACCAGATACTTAATACACTACACATACATATATAACTTTTAATACATAGACATTATAAATATAAACATCCATGACTGGTGTACAAGCATTCGAGTTCATCGCACAAATAAATGCCCTCAGCGGGACTCGACCCTGCGACTGGCACAACAAGTAGCGTCACTACAAACTGAGCCAAACGTGTCGTCAAACTACAAACTGTGTGAAAGTTTGTGAGTACGAATTATTTGTTACTCTTTCACGCCAGAACGGCTGAACCGATCTGGATGAAATTTGGCACAGAAATTTCAATTTGAATTGAAATTTGGCATAGACTATAGTCTAGAAAAGTAATCAATCTATACGTTTAATAAAATTGTAACTAAGACTAAAAAATGTAAACGAATTTTAATAAAATTTTTACAGTAGGTAATTATGTATAAGGGATTTATTATAATTTTGTACTTTTCATTATGTAATTGTAGCGAATGTTATGTACTCGTACAGTTGAAATGACACATATCTGATTAATTATTTATTATTGTCTTCTAAATGTGTATAAATGTTAATATGTATGTTGTTAGTGTGCTTTTTTAAATCTATACATGTAATAAAATTGTAACTAAGCCGAATCTGTACATTAAATATTTTTTGGAAAATCTTATTGAAATAAATATGTATTATTATCTATACAGAGGCCGAAACTATAATTTTTGAATTTTTGTCTGTCTGTTACCGCATCACAGATAAACCACTGAGGGGATTTGGATGAAATTTGTTATGGTTATCCGGGTCAACGTATAGGATACTTTTTACCGCGGGAAAGTATCTCATTTCAGAAAAAAAATACAAAAACTGCATTGTAAGAGTATACTAATATGTAAATTGTAGAACCTAAGAATTTGGTTTTTGGTCATCTGAAGGCGGGAAGAGCCGCGGGCAATTCTAGTAAATAAATAAATAAATACAGTACATATTATAGATTATACGTACCTTGATATAGGTGTATATGAGTAACACATAGGAATTCATCTAGATATAATAATAAATTAATACACAACGCTACGAGTATATATTTACATAAATTATAATATTAGTAAGAGAGGACAATTCCTTAACAAATTTTTATAAAAATCTGACGAAGTGCATTTTATTAACAGCCTCTATCTACATTTACTGTGGTCACGGGGAATCCCCGCATTCTCGATACCTATTTATTTTATCGTCAGACTGCAAACTTAACAATATTATAATTATATTATTCTTCTTTTGTATTAATCTTATTATTATTATTCGTTTTTCTTGGATGTCATGGGATTTACAGACATTATTACTTTTTAATTATTTGCTGATAACATACAAAACCGGTATTCACACAAAAATGCTAGTGAAATTGCTGGGCATACGCTTCAATTAAATCGTTAAAAAAAAAAATGTCATCGTTACCCAAATGCGGTTTGGGGGACTATGAACTAACTGTCAAAAACATGAGTTTTTGACAGTTAGTTAGACACAAGACAGGATACCTCACGATATTTTCCCTCACACAAATAAGTATAATTTTTTAAAAGTCAATCAAGGAGATTTAATGAGTAACAATTAATATATGACGGCACGTATGGCTCAGTTTGTAGTGACCCTTTTTTTTTTTTTAACGTTGAGAAATGCATTTACGCACGACGTGTGGGACTCACCGGCGTAATACAGCCAGTACTACCCACTAAAACCCAACAAAACCTTCCCCCGTCATAATGGGGCGTCGCAGGATCGCTTACGCATTCAACTACGACGTCCCGACGGCAGGCCACCAGACCACCACAACCATGGGGTTGCTCCAAGGTCCACTCTGCTATCAGAGAAGTACCAGGAGCTACCCGCAAGGTACACCGCCCCCCGAAGAGGGCCACCTCCCACCGCCCACCGAAGTGGGCAACCTCCCTGTGCGTTTCTTAGCTTCGCTACTACTACTGAGCCCCCACACCACGACAAGGTGAACGCACGTAGGGGGGGTTGTAGTGACCCTACTTGTTAAGCCAACGGTCGCGGGTTCGAGTCCCGCTGGGGGCATTCATTTGTTTGACGAGCACGAATGTTTGTACTCTAGTCATGGGTGATTATATTTATAATATGTATGTCTATCTAAAGACTAAAGTTATATAATATGTGCAGTGTATCAACTATCTGGTGTCCATAACACAAGCCTCGTAGCTTACCATGGAACTAGATGGTGCTGTGTGTTAATGTCCCAACATATTTATTATTTATAACATATTTTATTTATGATCACGTGCACATAGAGAGACGTGCATATAACAATATATGACATTCAATTATCTATTTAATCTTTATATAAATTATATAATAAATCAGTATTCATAAGATTTCTACTATCTTTATTAAGCGATATATCAGAACTTTCCTTTGCATCTATCACTCTTCGCAGGCATAGTTTGATAAAAACTAGATTAGATAAGTCATTGTTAGAACACAGTGTAATGTTAGTATTGTTTTATTATAAGAAAATAAGGATTTTCATTGGTTTCATTGTTCTATATCAAACTAACTACTTACGTTTGCTTCTGTAAAGGTCTTTAACCCTCGGCCCGTCGCGCACTTTTTTTACGCGTATCATCGCCCAGGGTCTCTGAAGACCCCGGAATATAAACAGTTCACAATTTTAACATTTTTATAAATGAAGACGGTATCACAATAATATTAAACAAAAAGAATTATAATTATCTATTTATTTATTGCTTCAGGAATAATATCACAAACCAAGGACTAAAAAGTCTTTCTTTGGACACGTTAAACGTAAAAAGTAATTTAAAAAAATGTTACCTAAGAAATATAGCTACTTTTGTCGATCAAAGTTACCCTAAAATTATTTTTCAATACAATCAGTAGGTAATACATTGAATATGTATCGGTTGGGATTTTTTTTTTGCAGAAATTGCATATGAACTAAAAAATGTTATCAGTCCGTCTTATAAATACAAAGCTCCTGCAGAATAAGAATTCTTCTGGATAGTTCAATACCAGAGGTACGAAACATTTTATCCACTGTTTTAATTCTTTAGGTAATGTACTCGTAAGTATACCACTCTTGATTACAAGCAAGAAAACCTTCTGTTTCATCTTGTGTTCCTGATTAACAGTATACAATATAATGTTTGCATTCAGAGCTCCAAAATCAAGAAAAGTAAACAACAGTCGTAGAGGCTATCAAGTTAAAACTTAGTGCTCTTCAGCTAATTCTAGAGTTTCTAAATTCAGAAGATCTTATTCTGGTTCCCTGTTCATTTGAATATTTCAAATCCCGATTTTCTTGCACACACACTACAATACGAATACCCATGTGCAGAACCGAGCCAGTTTTCAAAAGATATGTGAAGTTCGCCAAACCGCGCTTGCTCAACATGATGGACTATAGCCTGATCCCCCTTGTATTAAAGGGATATCCGTGCCCGTGCCGTGCAAAGTAGAGTTTATCAAAACTTCCCTTAGTTTATTAAATAACTAGCAGAACCCGCGGCTTCGCTCGCGCTAAAACTACAAAAAAACTTTAAAAAGGTAGTTTCACACAAACTTTTATCTCCTATTTCACCCTCTTATAAGATTAATTTCGAAAAATCCTAAAACACGTATTTATTTAATTTTATTGAAGACCATTAATACCAAGTTTCAAGTAATCTATATAATAATGATCAGAGGATCATAAATATTTTTTGGATTGTATTGATTCATAACATGTTTTCAACAAACAAAGAAACAAACAAACAAACACACTTTCACATTTATAATATTAGTCTGGATGTATTATTTAACTACTGTAAGTATAACGTACATTCAGTTATAATAAGCTTGCATATTTCAACTATCCAAAGGCCATTCTTTATCAAACAAAGAGGTTAATCCTGATTATTGTGCAATTATATAAATATTCTTATTATATTTAAGATGATATTTTGAATTTTCTATTAGTAAGTAAATTTATAAAGAATCAAGATTCACAGGAGGATCATAGTTATATGTTTTTGAAATGTACTTCAAAATATTTTTATATTTCCTAGATCTAATACTTGTATCATAAATTATAATGTTTGTGAAGGAGAGCGTGTATGTGAGTTTGTTACTTCTTTTCTCTGTAACGGCTAAGCTGTTTTGAATAAAATTCAGAATTAAGATCGTTTAACATATCTTATAAGTGCAGTCTAGCATGCAAGCGGACCCGTAGATAAAATATAAAATACTAGCGGCTCACCCTGCTTCGCTCGGGTTCACCTCTAGAAAAATAAAAACAAACCTGTCCCACGGGAACCGTACTTTTTTCCGGGATAAAAAGTAGCCTATGTCTTATACTCACAAACTTTCACATATATAATATTAATAATTATACGTATTAATAAAAATAGTTTTCTTCTTCTTTGCCTAGCCTTATCTCGTTTCAATCAGGGTGGTATCGTCCCTTTTTTCCTGTCCTCTTTTTTTTTGTATTTTAAACCTAGTCAAGATAATTTACATTCTATAATAGGTATTTATTTATATATAACTTACATCTAGGCTTATATAGGTTTTAAATATTAATGTAGAGCACATTTTTGGGCATATGGTCCTCTGGTCTACTCAACGTGTATCGTAGGGTGCGTTCCTATATACGATTTTATTCACAATATCATGGATTTTAATTTTTTTGCGCAAAACCGTGATTTTTTTTCTAAAATAAAAATAGCCTAAGTTACTAATTATAACATCAGCTATCTGCCAGTGAAAGTGCTGTCAAAATCGGTTTAGCCGTTTCGTAGATTAACCGGAACAAACAGACAGAAAGACAAATTTATTAAAAAATATTTTTTTTTTCTTATTAATATAGTATATACTTTCATATGCATTTAGTAAAAAGCTGTTATTTAGACATTACGAACAGACTTTAATTATTTTATCTGCATAGATATCTATATAATTGATTAACAAAATATTTTTGTTAAATTGCTGTAACCAAAACCTATTGAAATGCTGATCGAATCAAAATGCCTAAATAGTTATAAATTAATTAATGATACCCTTACAACGTCCCTTTCCATATTAAAACTCCCCAACCCTATCTATCCCTTTTACGACACTAATCTGAATTGTTTGGCGACGTCCCAGACGGACGCACACATGTAGACATTGTTACTCCACTTGGTATATAGATTAGACGACATAATTGACACACACGACACACACGACATAATATACTTTATTCACCATTCTAAAATGTACTTTATTCAATCTTATCTTGCTATATTTATAAACTAGCGACTCACCCTTCGACTTCGTCCCTTGCTTGCTTCTCAATACAAACTTTCATCAACATTTTCACCCCCTTGAGGGATGATTTTCGGGATAAAAAGTGTCCTTCCCAGGGTCTCAAACTATCTTACCCCCTATAACCTCACAAACTCACAAGCTTTGCCTCTTTATAATATTAGTATAGATATGGAAGTTTAGATGTTTGGTTGTTTATTACTCTTTTACACCAGAACGGCTGAATATATCTGGATGAAATTTGGCACAGAGATAGGTTATAGTCTGGAATAACACAAAAATATCCGATTGCCGGGGGATAGATTTGCTTTTGCTTTTCTAGAGGCGAACTCAAGCGAAGCCAGGGTGAGCCGCTAGTTTTCAATAAAAATAAAATAACGTAATATAATACCAAAAAATTTTTTTAAATCCATATTATAAATTTGAAAGTGTGTTTGTTTGTTTGTCCTTATTTCACGTCAAAGCAAAGTGGCGTGAATTTTTGTGTGGAGGCTGGAGAGTGACATAGGCTACTTTTTACTGCAGGAGATTATCTAATTCCCACAGAAAAACACGTTATAATACAATGCAAAAAATATTTATGATCAGAATTACTTGAAACTTAGTATTGATGCTCTTCAATAAAATTAAAGAAATACGTGTTTTAGCATTTTTCGAAATTCATCCTCCTCCTCTCCCTTATACATATATATATGTAAAATAGGGGATGAAAGTTCGTAGGAAACCTCCTTTTTAAAGACTTTTAGTAGTTTTAGCGTGAGCGAAGCCGCGGGTTCTGCTAGTATATTATATAATTTTATTTTTAATAAAAAAATAAACTGTTTTGTAAAATATACTATAACTTTCCTTAACTATTATATTAGTTACTAAGATATAGAAAATTATGATCTCCTGATCGATTTCGTTCACGACAGCTAATCTCACTAATACTAGCATTTGCACAGGAGATATTATAGTGCGCATGTATGCGTGCAAACAACGTGAACTCTCTATTCCTTTTCCTTTCAGTCTAATAGAACGATACTTCGACACGACCGATAAAATATCAAGCTTTTACTGAGAATTTCTTTATATAAAACAAAATAACTATACTTGGCTGGACACAAGACTCAAACCCAAGACCTTCGGATTTGCTATAAATGCTAGCTACTAGACTAAAGAAACAGTCATATGGATAATAATAAGCCTAAAATCCTGTAGATAATTCTTTTGATTCCTTTTAGATTTATTACTAGCGTTTTGCCAAATCGGGCTGACCGCATAGTGCATTAATCACCAACCAACCAATAAACCAATATCATATACTGAAACCTTCTCCGAAACACGCTGTATCTTATGGTATGAGTATTATTCCGATCGGTTCAGTAGTTATCGCAGTATAACCGAACAAAAAAATCGGCTCTACATTTATTAGTATAGATATTAAAATGTAAACATTAAAAAGTACTTACGTAATATTTTAGTTATGACTGATTATATTTACCACTAGCGTTTTCCCGCGGCTCCTCAGGCGTAGTTCAATTATATTCATCAAAATTCGCTCAGTAGTTTTTGCGTAAAAGATTAACAAACATCTATCCATCCACAACATCCGTTTATAATATTAGTAGGATCTAGTTTCCTTGTTAGTGAAATTATTGATTTTTGATGAATATAATTAAAAAGACTATATGATAATAGCATTGTTATAATTGCCCCTTTACCGACTTCAAAAAATAACAGATACAAAATTCGCCAGTGTGTTTTTTCTGTGTATTTTACACTATATTTTCGCAAATTGTGAATCGATATTCATAATTATTTTTTAATGAATACGTTATACTTCAATGATCGTCCTATACATTTTAGAAAAATAATAAATACAGTGTACTCAGTATATCTGTATGATTTTCAAGTTGAAAATCCACTTGCTGGCATCTGGATTTGCTGTAACTCCAATGGTGCCAATGAAGTGGTTTGAAAAAGGAACCCAGTTAATAAACAAAAACTTTTGTACGATTTCTATTACTTATTTATTATCGTGATCAATATATGTACACACGCTCAGCATCCTGTAACATCTCGCTGTACCTACACCTACCCGCAGCACACACCTACCATCTGCGTGTATATCTCGTTTGCAGGATATTGTTTTTAAATATCTAAAAGCTATTTATCTAATTTATTTTTTTATTTAAATAAATAATAAAAAAATTTCTGCTAAAAAGTATACATCTTTTATAGTATTTATATTATATAACTTTAAAAGATATAAAGAAAATATATACATAAAAAATAATATACTAATTTTCAAATCATATCGTGTACGACAAACGCGACAATGTACATATTTCTTCTTTTATATTTAATATGTATATATCAGTTTAAATAAAGTAATACAATAATATTTTCAATGATAAACTCCCCCGGGCATGTATCGGCACGCAGTACATTTTGTATTTAGTTGCTAGATTGCAATCGATGAAAATAAAAATGAACAAAAGCTCTATACAAAACTGGTTTGAAAATGCAAGGTTAAAGAACAGAGAGGTACGTGTTAGTATCTACTTATAATATATATTTAAAATATTATTCATTATTAATGTTTCTTAGCATATGAAAATACCTTTATCATTGACAATATTAGCAGCATACACCTACTGTACCACAGATCATATACACACATATAGTACACATTTTCTTCAACCAAGAATCGAACCCATAAGTTCTATCATAGAGTGCAGCACAAATTATATTGGAGTGCCAGATTCGTATTAAAATAAACGACGTGCATAATAATATAACTAAATCTTTTCTATATACGCCTATTAGCACATTATCAATATCAAAAATAATCTATAATATATAGAATCACGTTATTTAAAAACGTGAATGAGACTTACTGTACGTTAAACTTCAATTAAAAGTTTATATCAAGTACGTAATATTTGACAAATAAGTTGTATAACAAGTGGCTCGTGATCGTGACGACTTTTGTTAATGAGAGAGATAGAGAAAGAGAGTAGCACGTGCGAGTCTACCATTCTACTCTTAAGTGTGAGGGAGATAGAGTAATTCACTTTAGCGAATGAAATTTTCACAACCGTGTCATGCGCAATGGGAATGCCCACCACATGTGTCAGCTGTATTATACCTATAGTTGAAGGATGTAAAAGGCTTTCTATTATTGTAATTTATTCATGTCAAAAGATATTTCATTACTCTACATGCACTATTGTGGTTGCCCTTTACTTGTTTTCTGTAAGAATTAAAAATATGTATATATATTTTTATTGTTTATGTCATCTTTGCTTTGAACACATGGAAAGTACTCCAGAAAAATTTTATAATTTTGTAATAATAGAGTCCTTTGTTTTATATTTATATTGTACGTACATCTCTTGTAACTTAACTATTATTATTATTATTGACTTGATAAAGAAGGATGTATATATTATAAATGAAAAAAATAAACAAATAAATCGGTAAAATTTGCTGGCCAGCGTCTCTACAATCGTTACCGAGTATAATAACGCAGGCACAACAACCCAACGATCAGTTTGCCTGAAGTCGCGCGAGAGAACACACGCCCGGATAGAGCGCGCCTCGGGGCAGCTATTTTGTTTTTATTTTTTATTTGGCTTCTAGCCATTGTATGGGTGAGTTTCCAATAATATTAATTAATATTGAAACGTAAATACCCTATGTGGTACAATTAATTATATATGTTGTCATGGTAACAAAGAAATGTGCGCGTGTTGTGAAGGGTTCGGCGGTTGCGTACTGAATGCTTTCGTAGATATAAACAATTGAAAACTACAAGTTAAAATTTAATATCTTATTTTATTTAAATTCATAGCTTTATTAGTAATTCTATATAAATATTAACAAATTTTGCGAATTGTTAGCGAGTGCGTTTTTCCTTTTTTCAGCGAGAAATTGTCAAGGAAAATTACAATTTAATATATAAAGGTCCATTTTATTTCGCGGCTGTTCTTTCTTACTTGTATAATATTTTTTTATCAATTTATGCTAATTATTCTTTGAATATTTTAAAGTGGCAAAAGTTATAGCCGGTTTTAATTCAAGTTTTAGTTTTACTAGACGTTGCGGATCACATGCGTATCTAAGTCGACGTTTTTTATAAATAAAACAATTGTTAGTCATGAAGTGTATTAAATCTAATTTATAAAGGTTTACTAATTTGTTTGATTCGATTCAAATCAGTTATTTTTATATATTTATTATTTTTTACAGTTATGATAGATCAAAATAAAATTTAAAAAAATACTTGTTCAATGAAAATACTTAAAATTCGTGATTTTTACAATACTTTCTGAAAATTATACTCTCGCCACAGACGGCAAAAACGCCTTAATTGAACCATAAAGAGCAAAGTAAACGCCCACATCAAAACATTTTTTACACGTTATTATATTTGGTTTCTTTGTAAATTCGATATAATAACGAAAGATATTATTTATAGATGGGTTATAAAAGGATCTTACAAACATAAAAAGCTGACTTCATATTGTGTGTTCAATATTCCAATTTTAAATGACAGATTATTTCCTCAGACTGAGCAATATAATTATTTGTGAGATTATTTCAAAGAACAGGAACAAATAATTATAATGAATTATTCATACAGCATGTATTACATTACGATTAAGTAATAATATCTATTTTATTATCATCGATATAACACGATAAAATCGATAACATATATTATTTCATAATTCCATGAAATTACGCGGCAAATTATACGTCAGTGTGACGTCGGAAATCGGATCCTTGAAATCAAGTGAACGTTAATTTTTTTAAACCTTGTACATTTGGTTTTGACATACGTCAGTTTTGCAATGCAAATTTTTTTTTTATTAAATTAATTACCTACTGTTTATTTGAAATGTGGTTTTCCTTGCATGAACTAAAAACCTATATGATAAAATAATTAGAAATAATATTATGGTAATTAAGAAGGAAACATAATTACTGTTTATAATTGCTTAAGCAATTATATAAAATAGTAATTATTTTATATATATATATATATATATATATATATATATATATTATATATATATATATATATATATATACTAGCGACTTACCCTCGCTCCGCTCGGGTTCGTCCCTGGGGTGGGGTCTGGGAGGACCACCCTTATCCTTATCACTTAGGGGTATGAAAAATAGATAGTAGCCGATTTTCAGACCTACTGAATACGCATATAAAATTTGGTAAAAATCGGTAAAGCCGTTTCGGAGGAGTACGGTAACAAACATTGTGACATGGAAATTTTATATATAAGATAAATATACTATATTCTTATTATATAATCAAATATTATATTCTTTAATTATAATCTGTTGAATAATTTTCAGCAGTAGGTAGGTAATGCGCATATTTCGCAGTGCGAGATAGTTTATAAACTGAGTTTACTGAACAAACACTTAGTCATTAACCGCTAACTATAATTAGGTCATAAGTATGCACGGCACTAAATAATGAATATCTCGGTGAAATCAAAGAAAATCATTGTAATGTACAACGTACTATAATGAGATCATTTACCTTTTTACATATTAACGCTTGCTAAGATGAGGATATATTGAGATGATGAGATTATAAAGGGCAGCATTAGAATGCATCCCATCTTTACGAATATTATAAATGTGAAAGTTTGTGAGTATGGATGTATGGATGTTTGTTACTCTTTCACGCCAGAACGGCTGAACGGATCTGGTCTCTTGATGAAAGGCACAGAGATAGATTATAGTCTGAAATAGCACATAGGTTAATTTTTATCCCGAAAAAACGTACGGTTCCCGTGGGATAAATATTTTTTTCTTTTCACTAGGGACGAACCTAAGCGAAGCGAGGGCGAGTCGCTAGTCTGTTATAACTTATAAGTATTCAAAATAAAGTTTGGTTTTATTACCTATTGACTTCAACAGCTTTTTACAGCGTTAATTTTTAAAAATAATTCGCAGTAATTGCTCAAAAATAATAAAAATTATAAAACCTTGCACTTCAAAATTCCGCACATATCAAAGTGGTTAGTAAGTAGTAACACGTGATCGAGGACTCCGAAACAATGCCCTACTTGCGCTCGACGCGACGCGACGTTCAGCCGAAATAAAGTAGAAGTGATCTTCCAATACTGCAATCGAATCATTTGCGAATAATTCGTAAATTGCATGAGTTTCTCTTTTCTAACCACCTTTTATATATACAAAACTAGCGTATTTATTTATGTACTTATTTAAAAAGAATAAATAAGTTATCAACTAAACATAACAATTCAAAATATTTAGCTACAAGCGATTTTTGCTCGGGTGCGTCTCTAGGTACGTTTTTTTTGAGCGGAACTCTAATTCTTTATATAAAGTAAAAGTAACCTAAGTTACTCCTTGTAACATCATCACCTATCTGCCAGTTAAAGTCCCGTCAAAATCGGTCCAACCGTTTCGTGGATTAGCCGGGACAAACAGACAGACAGACAAAATACTTAAAAATTGTGTTATAATTTTGACATTACAAACAGACACTTTAATTTTATTTATCTGTATAGATAAGGTAAGTAAAGAAATTAGGTAGCAAATGTATAGATATTCATTGCAGTGACGTATATGCGAAATAAATACAGATTTTGCCTTTCAAAACCAGTATATATCTCACCACGTGATACAATGGCCTAGATAGTCTCGTGCCGCAAAGCGTGTAGTCGAAATATAGTTCTCCTGACCTCGTGCAATTCCTGTGCAGTTAACTTTAGATATAATGTAATTTTTAAGTTATACTTACCTTCATTATAATTTTATTTTGTAAATGTATTGATTTTCATATTTTATACACCTCTTGAAACGATGCAGAAGATAATAAAAATTATCCTAAGTAATCGTGCATTTTTAAATAAATTAAAAATAATCTCTCTAGTAATAAATATTAATGCGAAAGTTTGTATGTGTTGATATGTGTGTATGTTTGTCACTCCGTCACGCTAAAACGTGTTGACGGATTGGGGTGATATTTAATACACAGATAGATTAGAGACTATGAATTTAGTTAAAACATAAACTACTGTCAGTAATGCAAAATGATTGCGGGGCGTACCCGGACTTTTACTGTTATATATTTGAGTTATCTTCTTAGAATTCATACTCGATGTCTAAAGAGCTTCCTGTTAACTGGGATTTGTTACTGACGCACGTTAGTGAATTAATATAATACATACTTGTTTCTTTTCACAAGTATGCAGTGCTGAATTCAACCTTAGCACCGCCTCTCACTAAAAAATTTCGCCCCAATATCGAAATTTTGCATAAAGTGGATAAATTTTTTTAATAATGATTTTTTGGAAAAGTGCAGAAAATTAATTTATATTTATGATTTACATTATTCGAAAAATGCACTAATTTTTTTTAATTATTCATTTTTTGGAAAATAAAAACGCATTTTCGATAACGCGAAGATTTTTTATTCTCACCCTCCGAATTTTGCCGCCCCTGAAAGTTGTTTGTGTCCTAAGTGCCCCGAGTGTAAATCCAGCGCTGAAAGTATAAATTTAAAGAAAGTATTTTAAGAAGGAAAAACATTTAAAAATGCTGACCTAAAATATTTCAATTTATTATATGCGGCAACAGGCAGAATGGTATCGAAGCTTCACCATTCTAAACAAGGATAAATTAAAGAAAAATAGACTGTACCCAATCACTACAAATATTTTGGTTAATTAAGTGTAATTTTTATTCGATGTCTAACTCTTTTAAGAAACAATCATGGAAGTAAAAAAAGAAAGGGTTTTTTTAGTCGTCCGTGGACACAAACAACTACCTACTGATTTAATTTAAAATCAAAATTAATTAAGATAACATTATTCACAGAAAAATAAATAAATGGTTTAAAGACCTGGAAAAAGGGATCCCTTAGTTAAGATTGTTATTACTAAACACATCGTCTGTCGTCTGTGGTCAACAGTAGGAATCTACTTATCTATTGTCTTTCGAGTTAGAAACATTTTTGAATCAGTTCGAACACTGAAAGTTATTTCAAAAATACTAGTTAAAATCAAATGTACAGTAAACTAGCATTTCCCGCGGTTCCGCCCGCGTTCAGGTGACCAAAACCCAAATTCTTAGGTTGTACATATTAGTATACTCTTAGATTGCAGTTTTTGTACTTTTTTTCAGAAATGAGACATTTTCCCGCGGCAAAAAGTATCCTATGTGTTGACCCGGATAACCAGTGGTGATACCATACCAAATTTCATCAAAATCGCTCCAGTGGTTTTCTGCGATGCGGTAACAGACAGACAGACAGACAAAAATTCTAAAAACTATGGATTCGGCCTCTGTATCAATAATAATGTGTATTTCAATAAGATTTTCAATAAAATATTTAATGTACAGATTCGGCTTAGTTACAATTTTCTTATATGTATAGATTAGAGAGTATGTCTATTATGTCAAAACAGCTATCCCATATTGAGCGCAATAAATACGTGTAGGCATGGTATTAATTGATAACACCCAAAGCTCCAACAACACCTTTTAAAAACGTCTGTTTTAAAATTTTTTACTGGATATTCTCCGGAACGAGGGTCTCGGCTTTAACCAGTCTTCGATTGACAAACAGAAGATTTGATAGTATTTTAGC